GTCCTCGATGTAGGCGATGACGAAGTCTAGGCCTCTTGGGACTTGATTAATGAGGCGCTGAAAGGTTTGGGCAGCGTTTCTCAGTCCGAAGGGTATACGGATAAATTCATAGAGACCGAAGGGGATAGTAATGGCGGTCCTTGGGATGTCGTCAGGAGCGACAGGAATGTGATGGTATGCACGAACTAGGTCGATTGTAGAGAAGACAGACTTCCCGTGCAAGTTGCTAGCAAAATCATGGATATGGGAAATTGGGTATCTACCGGGAACAATGACACTGTTGAGCGCAAGGTAGTTGCCACATGGTCTCCAGTCGCTGGTCATCTTGGGCACCAAATGAAGCGGAGATGCCCAGCAGCTTTTGGAAGGGCGTATGATCCCGAGGTTAGGCATGTGTTCGAACACTCTCTTGGCTGCTTGTAGTTTGTCCGATGGAAGGCGTCTTGGCTTGGCAGACACAGGAGGACCGGTTGTGACGATATCGTGACAGGTATCGTGCTTGGGCTCTGGAGTGCAGTCATCTGCTCTAAGGAGGGAGGGAAATAGTTGCAGTAATGATGAGTAGCGTGATTCTTCAGGCAGAAATACTTGAAGCTTAATGGAATTGACCTTAGCGAGCTGTCCAGAAACATTTAACGAAGTAGTACCATCTCGTAGCTTGCCACATCGCAGGTCTACGACCAGGCCGAATTCGGTGAGGAAGTCAATACCAATGATGGGCTTCTGTACACCGGCAATTAGGAAGATGAAGGTGAAATTTCGTCGCAAACCAAGATTCATTGTCAGCAGTCTCTGGCCATACGTCGCGATCTTGGTTTGGTTAGCTGCCTGTAAGGTAATTCCGGATGGTCGCAGAGCACGTTTTTCTAAGGATCGAGGTATAACGCTTACCTCTGCGCCAGTAACAACCAAAAATTGGGTTTGGTGGTGGAATCGAAAACGTACAAGAGGCGAATAATGGTTTGGCCAGCAGCAGCTGTCGCCATCGCTGGCTGGCTTTGTCGTTTCCCTGCCGAGAAACCAAAAACGTCTTCGTGTATTTACAACCTGGACGACAATTGCGAGCAGCATCGCCGAAACGGCGGTGGTAGTAGCAGTATGATCGCGATCGGCTGGTGCGGAATTGACAACGGCGGCCACTCCTTGAGTTGAATCTACGGTTAGCAGGTCGTTCACGACCGATGTGAGACACAGCGAGATCTAACCAAGAGAGTCTTTCACTAATATCCTCAAGTGCGGTACTTCCAGATGGACTAGTGGAGCTCGGTCCAGTCACATTATTCACAGCTGAGTTAACGAAGCGTTCATGGACTTTCTCGGCGGCTTCGGCCAGTTTGTCCAACGAAAGTTTATCAGCGAGGACCCCTAAAATCGCCGTGGTGTTTGTTGGAAGGCACTTAGTCCAGATCGGCCGGAGGATGGAATCGTCCAGGGTCGCGGAACCCACAAGTGAACGCATGTGCCGGAGGAGTTAAGACGGGCTGCGGTTTCCAAGCTCTACGCCTGAAAGTAGCATGTGTAGCCGTGCTTTATCGGAAGCTGTAGTGCGTATTAGAACGGCTGGTTTGAGCTTGTCATACGGCGATTCAGTCGGCATCGGATCGAGAATATCGATCACCTCCGAGGTTATCTGTGAAGGAAGATAAACGGTGACGTGTGAAAACATCGATGGTTGAGAAGTGAGCTTATGCAATCGGAAGATGGCATCCACCAGAATAAACCAAACACGAGGGTTTGAAACATCAATGGTGGGTAACGAAAAGCCAATTGAGTTTTGACACGGTTCATGGGGGCAGCCTAGTCAAACATAAGGGAAAAAGAGAAAAGTAAACGAAAGAATTAAATAGATGGGGTCACCAAATATAGTGTATGACAGAGAGTAGTTACCGCTGCGAATAGGACCAAAGCGCGGTTGCTCACGGTCGGGATACATTAGGTAAAAATCAGCAAACCTGTCCAATGACACGAACGAAGGAATCGTACGCTGTTCGTAAATAGAGGTCTGACGACTGATGCGAAGCCCACACACAACAATCGAAGGCGGCACAACGTCACCGAAACCAAAAGATGAACGAAATTCGAAAATTAGTATATATCTTGTAGTGTGAGTTAAAATATACTAAAATCGACGAACGATAGAATAGGAGGTTACAAGGAAAAATGCGATGAATAAGGTCAAAGTTATTCCAGGACTATTTTGATCTGGGTTGACTTAAGTGATATAGCTGTACGCGTTAGTTTCGGCACAGCGTGTGCCAAGCCTGTGCTCTGCACAAGCTTGAATCAAGAGATGTTAATCACTAGCAGCGCTCTTCAAACTGCTTTGAAAGAGTGTAAGCACACGAATGTGTGACGAGAACTGCAATGGCGTCTCCGGGCTAATTGAGAGCATGGTCGTAAAGCAGTGGACTTGGTCAAACACCATTGTTAACTTGGTTCATCAACTTTGCGCCAATTGCGGTTCAAGCAATCACTATAGCCCCTTCATTTCGTTGGTCCAATCGTGGTTCTGTGACGCAGCATAAAAACGGCGTAGGCTCAGCCCCCTGCGACGACTACTGTTCAGGGTACAACAGATGGGAGGTCGACAATCCGGTGTATGCGTTGGCCATGGCTCCAAAATCAAGCACCATGCATTGACCTAGGTCCTTGGAATTAAGAACGACGTAGGCTAAGCCAACATAAGTTTCAGCGAACGGTCAAACAGTCCGTGTCCAGCGTGGTTCAGCAAATAATGTGTTTATATCAGTAACCTAAAATAACTACTCAAATCGGGCTATCCAATATTTCATTTTCATTTCGATCACTAACCTACTTGTACTGACCTACCACCAAGCAAAGTAAGGTAGTGCAAACAAAAACCAGGCTCTCATTAATTTGTACAACCATCCCATTAGTCAAAAGAGCATTTGCAATCACCCAGACTCACAACTACTTGCCACCAGTGATCGAGCAAATAGCGAACGCGAAAAGCACCAATGGGGTGGGTGTGCATATGGACATAATCCATATACAACACCAATGGGTTCTGCTAAATGGTTAATGAGAGCGGCCTGGTGTACCATAAACAACGCAAGCCCATGGCTTCGAAAATCCATCACCCTTAGAGAATTTTGCTAACCTCTGAGGTTTCGAAGTTGTTAAGTATTCCTGAGCAATCGGGTTTGCGCAGACACGTCCGCCTGTTCTTATAAATGGTCGTTGTTGTATATTAATATTAATGTAACTATGCCAGATAGGGCTGCAAGACCACGTTATAGTATATCATTCAGGCGACAGCAATGCAGAACATCACCTTTACAAGTTAGCATTGACATTGTACTTTGTGGCTACCAACCCCCGTGAAACAAATGTATATGGGTTTACTTCAACGTTCATGTGAATGCCACGATTGTTCAAGGATACGCGGTCAGTTTCCTCAGTGCCATCTAATTTTCAGCCTACCATCCTCCTCCATACCCTCACGAGAGGCTTGCTAATCTGTGACATTATTACGCTTGCTAAGCAATTCTTCAGCCGACCCCGTATGTTCTCGCCTTATCACAATAAAGCTCCTCAACCACCTACAACTCCAGAGCTAGGTCCTTCGGACATTGGCAATTTCGGAGCTAAACTGGTAGCATTACCTTCATATTTTTGCGCATATGTTGAAGTACGTATAGCTTATACTAAACTCATCAATAAACGGTCGTACTGGCATTAAGAAATGGCCTTTGGGCAAACAGGCTTAAGTAACAGGAACGAAGACTCACCCTAGTGACGATGCTTATTAGAATGCACGATTACGTGCCTCCATTTTTGGGTAACGTCGAACTAAAATAAAACCGTATTTATTTATTCAGTGACTCAAAGGAGATGAAGCAAGTTATCGCATTTCGCAAGCGGTATAACAAATGGACAGTTGCAGTGTCACAATGTCGAGGGAAACAAGTCACTATTCATCTAACGGAGAATTAAGTACAGCTCGGTACCCTTCATTTTAACTGTTTTTTGTCATCTTATCATACACTGCAGGGTTTGTTTACATCCTAATTTGATGCTGTGATTCCGACAGGGAGACTTACTCAATCGAGTTTCTCCCACGCTAGGGTTTGCTACATACGTTTGCATGGTTGGCAGAGTGATGACAATCTCCATTGGGAGTGAACATAGGCAGATAGCCAACTGCATCCATAGCTGACGGATGCGATCATTAGACGCAGCAAACCCAGTTGTCCTTCCACGCGGCTGCGCTGACTGACGGGTACTCCAAGCTGACCTCTTACTCCTTTGTTTAGTAGAGACAAGGAAGAAATCTCCTCGACCGCAAAACGCCGTAGATTGTTAAATTGCACGAAGTGTAGCGCAACTGAAGTCGAGATGGAACATTTAAACAGACAGTCATTCCTAATTTGTCTTTCAGTTGTTTTTACAGGGCTCCGTAGACCGAAACCACGATGAAATGGCAAATGTAACCGCAAGGACCATGAACTTACTCGATACAAACTCACTGTTTATATTAACTGTGGTGACTACACTTGTGCATGCAAGCAGTTGTCCGGTAAACCTGTTTTTACCCTGTTCATGCGTTTCGACTCTAGCTCATCGGAAAATCGCCATTGCGCTATTATGTTGATCCGCTTAAGTTTGTTGAGATATTCATCGAGTTGTTTGATTTTCATGTCGTGCAATTACTCTGCGACTTGTTTCCGAGAGGACTATTCATCCGTACCTCGGACCCACCATACCGGATCTAGTACAGAGTAAGCCATAACAAAGCTCGGCAATCCGCATGTTAAATGCGCCGTCGGTTTTGTTGGTTTGTTTTCGCTTAATGGACCGCTTGTTACAGGAGACTGACTTTTCCAAACGGTTTCAAGGAAACTTTAGGTAATTTCAACAATCGGTTTCCAATGGATTAGTTTAGTTCAGCAAATTTTTCAAATCTCAACGGTATTAAACAAGAAGGAAAGAACAAATAAAAAGCAGCGGGAGAATGTGGAAAAGCATGTGGCTGGGATTCAAAGTGCTGGTGCGGTTGTACGAAGAGTCCATGTTGAACTGGTTGGTGGTGACCAGACGCCCAACTGTGTATGACGCTTGCCGTTTACTGGCAACAATGATGACGGCTCAAGCAACTCTGACAATATCGTCAGCACTTCGTCAAACTCTGTAACAGAGACAGTGATGAGATATGATAATGTTACGGGTTTTCACTCAAAGTAGTCCAGAGAAAGAAAGTACAAAATATTATATTACTGAAGCTGCCTTTTAAGAGACTCGTTAAATGCACCTATTCTCTGCTTGGATGGTTTTTAATAAGGAAGCTCATCGCTAAACCTAATTACACAAAGACACTATGTTTTTAGCACTTACCGATCCACCAGTTTAATTGCAAAGATTCCTCCTCGTTTGTAGAGTCAACTGAAACACATAATCGAACACTGTGAATGACAGGTGTAGTTTAATTAACGACATGACTATTTGTCCTGCAGTTCTCACCGCTTCTACTTGTCACACGCTTTCCTGTTGGAAGTGAAGGATCTTTGGGAATGAGTTTCACATGTCGCGCAGTTGTATCGCAACCCATATCATCACATATGTTTCTCTTGTAAAGCCACCAGACCTATCATCAGCTAAACAGATTACAAGTTTTCTTGTGCACATTTTTCCGCAAAGACGAAACCTCCTTATTTTGTCTAACCTATGCCTTAAAAATCAACTATAGGCTAGCGTTTCCACTGGATCTGGATGTTGGATACATACGGCAATGAACTGACAAAATAGAATTTTTGGCATGACATGAGAACAATATGCAAAGCGCCCCAGCTAAAATTAAGAGTTTTTTCTAGCTGCACTTAGTCTTTGAATCAAACGTTTGCGCACGTGCTGTTGGGTAGGTGAATGAGCGTCACATAGGGTAGGTTCTTTCGAACTTTACAAAGAGTGGAAGGTAACATCACTTCTTATATGCGTCTCCTTTCTGACGCAAAAGCGAAGTAACACTAGTGTTACAGACGACAAGGTGGTATATGGTTGCGTTGGAAGCAATAGCTACAGGGCTTGAAACCCTATGCATCTCATCGGGACTCTCCTTGAGACCAAGTGGTCAAACCAATGGCAAGGTCAGCAGTAATAGGCATTCTGTGAAGCTATATCACAATCGCTTGAACGTCCAGGTTCCACCGTATCCAAAGTCACCCATGTGGTCATGCTGATTGAAATAGGAAAGGTATCTGTGGCATGCCTCATCTTTACACGGGGACATTTTATCACCATTACTGCCCCATGATGTACACTTTCGCAGTGGAACTTGAAAAATCCAGTGTAACTTTAGGAGCACCATCTCCCGCAGCTAGGAAGTATAATAGCGGCACTACACCTACTGGAGCGCAGATGTTGTTACTATCATTTCACAAGCAATAGCACCGGCATTCTCCTCCAAAATGGCGGGTATCAAACAGAAACAAATTAATTAACAGCGTCTACACAAATGTATCCGACTCTATGAACGTTAGGGTTATTATACCTGAAATGTTAGACATCCATGTGTCAAGTGTACACGTGCAAACTTAATTGGCTAGTATACGATGTCCGACAATCAAAACGAAGATTGAGCAGGGGTCCAACAAATCGGTTATCAAAGGACAGTGTCATTCTATCCTGCACACATATCTTAAACACTCAACAACGGTGCACACATCCAATGGCTGCTTCTTCCCAACCATCCATCCGAGTTTATTGGTCTGCGCTTATTACTCGTTCGCAGCTGTTTGGAACACTTCAATCTTGAATGGAACAAAGTTGCGCCCGGTTCGCATTACCTCAACCCACTTCTGGGCTATTCATCCGGTCCTTGCTTATGTGGTTAACATGCACAGGTTGCGGTGACCGACTGTTCACATGCCAGTTTCATCTGTTCCACTTGCTCGGTCGACCAGCTGCCATCGCTCCGTGTCGCGTGCGCGAACTCACTTGCTCTTAGCCGAAGCCAAAATTGAGCTTCCTCGCAACACTCCAGTCCACTTCCTCATTGTTCACCAATTTGCGTTCGCGTTGCTAATTGGCCTTCCGTTCCAGTGGCTGCGAGTCGGTCTCGCTCGCGTATACAGCCAGCTGTCACCAAATACACCACAATGGCAGCCTTGCAATTTCATTCGGCGGGTTACTCTACAATGGAAGGGTGAAGTCGTAGTCACTCTTCTATTAGCTGCCAGCGTTAGGATTACAGCATGGTTTTCGGAACCATGCTGCATGAGGGGTAAATAAGTTAGCGAGTCATTGCCAAGAATAGTGAATAGCTGCACATAAAAGTAATGATTAACTCTGTTATCCAACGGTGGTGATCGCAGCCATGGTCTAGACACGTTGCAGAAATAACAAGTTGCATAGCCATTTGCAACCCAGTTCGTCACTAAAAGCCTTAAGCATTTACACCTAACTAACCAACATGAATTGAAACAAGCCGTCTTTATTAGTCGTCCCATTTAATGGAAGCTCCGAAGCTGGTTACATTGTAACCCAATTGATAGCAGTAAAAGTATATTGGTACGGCATAGTAACCCCCATCTCAATGGAAGCGACTTGAACTTACAGTTTTTAATAAATTATACAATAATATAAAGAGGTTGTAAAGTGTGATCTGTCCGTTCTGGGGAACAGCTTCTTTCATCGTTGACGGATATACACGTTATTTATTTGTTTACATATTTATCATTCCACCTATTTTCATGCGCATGCGAGACGCCAGTTCTAACACTAGGACATTTTATTGGATTAGCTTATGAAAAGCAAGCAGTAACTGCTACTTTGCCTCATATGCTAACCTAGGGGCAGCGCTAACAAAGTTCTTTTCTAGACGAGTTGACTTGTTTCTGTTGGATCTACGGGGAGTTTGCAACTCCTCCGTTCCTTGGCCGTCCAGGGTCGCAGTTCCACCTACGCGCAAAAGTAGTTCTTACATTTTAATCAACCTTGACAGTAGCCGGTAAGGTTACCACATGACTTACCGCGATATACATCAATTCCATTTGCACTGGTAGGAGAGAGCATGTTTGCTTCCTAAATTTCAACTCATCGAAGTCGGTAAGTATAGTTTAACACCGCAGTACAAGCCGTATTTGCGGATGCTGCTTTAGGCCAGTACAGCAGACATTGACTGCCTACTATTTGTTACAGTATTCATGGGTGTTCGTCTTTAAACTAGAGTTTTAGGGGATCTAACGGTATGGGTAGAAATACATCACATCTAGAATCAACCACGCAGCTAGCACGTGCTGGAAAACGCACTGCACCGCCGTTTCCTTCTTTCAAGAACGGTTGGCAATGCACATTCAATCCTACACTTGTAGGACATGAGTTGTCGTTTGGAGCCCTGCAAGGCAAAGCTGGAATGAGCGTTACTGACGATTCCTGAAAGGATGATAATGCCGTACAGTGCAGTTACGTGCGTGTGATAACTGTCCGACTGAGCCTAGTAGTGATGGCCACATATTTACTCTGTGTTAGGTGCTAGAGCAGCGCCACATGTACCGCACCCCGACAATAGCTGTGTTCCTCGAATTCAAGAGTGCGTTCAAGCCAATCGACCGATGCATTCCGTTTGAAACACTTGAGCGGAAAGGTGTTCCCATGAAATATGTGAACATCTTACCTTTACTATACTCAGACACGACAGGCTGCGTCAGGGTCTACACTGATTTGTCGGATGCTTTCCAAACCAAAAGTGACGCTCATCAGGGTTGATCAATTTCCCCATTTTTGTTCAACTTCTTCGTGGACTACATCATGTTCATAATCGTGTTCCCTTGCGGAATGTCACGATGCATGTGTCGAGGTTCTGCCTGGTGAACAGCCGGTTGATCTTGATTATACGGATTATATCTTCCTGCTTTTTAACGCTGTTGGGACGGTAAAATGAACTCTGAACAACCTCTCTAGATCGGTACCACCATTCAGCATGTGATTCGCACCTTTAAAGTGCCAAGTGTTGTTGCATGACTACCAGCCAGTTGACGAATCCTTGACCCTTGATGTCTTGGAATTTGTAGTTGATCACTACACCTACCTTGGCAGCTGTATCAGCAATGATAGGTGCATAGAAACTGAATTCAGTTCATACACTGCAAAAGCTGAAACTGCATTTTTGTGTCTGCTACATCTTTGGCGTCAGAAAGATGTTTTCCTTCGTCTAAAATGCCTGGTTTACAAGGCCACAGAGTAATCCGTTCTAGTGTATGAATGATAGATTTGGCCCCTTCGATCTGCGAACCTGAGGTCACTTCAAGTCTTCGATCATCGCTGTTTGCGAAGCGTTGCTGACGTCGGATGGCATCGGCGTGTCTGCAACGATGATGTGCGCAAGCGAGTACTAGGCAGTGATAACCAGGCTATTTCCTTAGAACAACGGATAACACTGAACAAGTTGCCTTGGCGTCGTACGTATGCCTGGCCAACGCTTACAGAGGATTGCCTTGTTTTGTTTGCCAGACGCATGATGATGCAAGACTCGAGGTGGGCAGAAATTAACTTGGCAGCGTGGAATGAATGCACTGACGACTCAACTAGGCGCCGTAGGTCCGTCTCGCCTTCCAGGCTGGAGTCCACATGACGCGCCTTGTGCTTGGCTGGAGACATTACAGGACATGGTTTGCAGTCGACCCTAGTTGTGTCTCTGCTGTCGTCTCCTAGTCGGATTGTTTGTTTAAGGTGTGTTTGCTGCTGATTTTTCTGCAGGATAATGGCTGATTATCATGCGGAAAAGTGCAAGCTGCAAAGAAGCTGCCTAACCGATGCTGCTTTATCTTTACACGATAGTCAGCTGCTTTTGAAGAAATGTTGTTAACAAGTGTAGGCGCCTTAACACCGAACGTTTGTTTAGGGCATTAAGGTGTTACAATAGTTCCCTTCTCTCTCCCTCTTATTATTCTTCGTTCTGTAGCTCACAGTGGTCGTACGGCAGCGAAGCACCAGTTCAGACGGCTGATGTGCTGATGTGGATGAGTTGTGATGAAATTACACCTATGCCATTCAAATCCCCTACTAGACATTTGTAAACAGTAAACAAATCGGACTGTTTAATATGCCACAAGTTAAGTGGTGGCTTATACTTGGTAAATTAGCCATTTGTTGCGGGGACAACCCGGGCACTTAACAGATTTGATGCTCCTGTAGTAATCGTACAGCAGTGTAGCGAAGGAATACATTAATGCTAGGTATCTCAGGTTATGTTTCTTTATAGGTTTGGTTCTCTAAAGGGGACCAGGGGAATGTGCAACCCTGATGTTTCCCAATAAACAAAACGGTCGCCCACGACATTTTCAGGTTGGTGATTAGACTCCCAGGCTTATGAGCTGCTGCGATGAAACAGTAAACTTTCGTTACAAATTGTTGGTGTAGTACATTGAGCCCCTGTGTTGCTGGCCCTTAGCACAATCGACTCAACGGTAACTCAACTGGAGCGCTAACTCTGGGAGGTTCAATGTTGTTTTTCCCATCAGCTTATGTTGAACAGTTTTAATCCGGGAGCAACTTCGAACTTGTTTATCTAAACCTCCGGTTTTTGAAGGCACTTCGTGCAAAAGGCACTCACCCTACTTCACCTATGAAGGTATTGCTCTTACAACCAGTTCTTAATGAACTTACTTGCTGGGCCTGAGGCAAGTTACTCGACGACTTCTAACAAGGATTCTGGAATCAGATCATGCTACCCAAACAATTGCTAGAGAAGAACAGAGGGAATATTTGAAAACGTTTATACTACGCTATGTATATAAAATGATTATTTCAAAGTGCTTGAGTGAAAGCGTATAATGTTGGCTACAAAGCTACTGTATCCAGTTGTTATTTTAGTCGTTTTTCATGCTCTTCTAGTTCACGTTTGACGTCTGACCACAAGACTGGATCGTGAGCCGGAGACAAAAGCTTCAGGGCTTCAGTAACGGACCAATTTTCCGGTCGATAGTCTGAAGTGCAGTAGAACAGTTTGACTAGTTGCGGAGACCACTCGTCGCCCCCACGAAATCCTTGGTCTAGAAGTGTTAATCCTGGTCGTAATTGGTCTTCCATATCGGGTTCCTGTTTCAGGTAAACCGTGACTTCAGGAGAGCAAATTCCAGTCTGCATTCTGTAGGTAAAGCAGCATATGAGAAATGTAGCAAACAATATATATATATATATATATATATATATATATATATAGGGCTGCACATGAGATCTACCATAACATGCCAGTATTTTGTCAGTAAAAACAGTACAGGAGAACACTAATATACAATTGGTTCACAGTGGCCACTTAAATGAACTACTGCGTTGAAGCGGTTCAATAACGAAATAAATGAAGGTTTTATTCCTCGACGATGCGGGACACAGTCCAAGCGAGTGGTCTGAGAAACTTGTACAACGGGATCACATTATATAGTTAATTGTTCGTGTTTGTACAATGGTTCCCAAACGGGATTATTAAGTGAGCAACTGTTTTACAGTATCAAAGTGATTAAGAAACTGGGAACAATAACAAAGTTAGCGTTAACCAAAAGTTCAAGTAGATTAATACGACCATCTATGGAACTGTCCCCAGGGGATTTCCTTCCATGCGGGTTATTCCCTTGATAAGTTTCACCTGCACTTCCATGCTCCAACTGGCTCTGTACCGGTGCGGCAACGTAGTAAACAGGCCATCACCAGTGTAACAAATGTTTTTTGTCTTAAGGGATTTTATGCATTCATTACGGGAGATGAAGCCACAGCCCGCTCCGTCATGCGGATCAATCAAGCATGACACCTTTTTGTTATAAGCCAGCGAGTCGATGGCAGTATGATTTGCATGGGTAGAATTTTTTTAGTTTGGAAGCTTTAATCGGTCACCAAAAGTGATCAGACCAGTCATGGTAAATAATGAAACAAGTAAGAATATAAATTATGGGGAATTAAAAACAGAACAATAAATACAATCGTTGCCGATAGACCAACCACAATTTGGTGGACAATCTTGTCGAGTGACGACGATGGTACAATGAGTTCAGCTTGAAAGGCGTAGTACATCTTCAAACCAGTGCATCAAAGGAGAAAACAGAATTGGTTAGACGGAGTGATAATGGTAAGACCATTTATAGATACATACTAAATAATATAACTATATGTAGGGGATATGGCAACTTTCAAGTGTATCCAGAACCTTTTTCATGCAAATCATTTAGAGTCATCTTTTGGCTAAGTGTTGACCAAATATTTGAAGCAGGCAGGTGACCATTAGTCATACGTTTGAATGGCGTGTACGTAGTGCAGTTTCTAATACTCTGTAGAAGTTTGTTCTAAATTAACGCATATTTTACTGAGAAAAAATTTGGACGAAACTTGGTTAGCATATCCGGCTGTTGATCAGTAGGGTGGTTCGAATGTAGCGGTCATCAGTAATCATCACCAGTTTAACCTTTATAACAAGCTAACTGGGACACAGCGCAAATAATCCTATACTGACATGCATACTATGAACATTGCGGAAAAAATTTTGGTCCTTACACATAAAATTTCATGTGTTAGCCGCAAGTAGTTCGTAAGTTATGACGGTTTGTCACTGGCAACCTTAGCCTAGTGGCATAAGTTAACGTTTATTGTCGTAAACCGCTAGTATTAGGGGGCCGTACGTTCGGCTCCTGATCGTTTCGAGGGATTTCCAAAGCTATCGAGTCCCCAAAAGCAAAAGTACCCGTATGGTGCTTTCCCCGAAGTGGGGACACATTTCTGATTTCCATGGTACTGTGTGGAACCTACAAGGTAGTCAATAAATTTCAGTTGAGAAATATTCACCAAACGCTTCAATTTCCGCCAACGCACGCTGCAGTTGACCAGCTGCAGAACTAGAAGCCGTACACTAGATGACTTAGCCCCTTTAGTAACCGGAGAAACCCACTTGATCTTAACTTGAAAAAGCGTCAACGAGTATCGGTAACACTTGGCGGATGGGTTGCCGAGACGAACTTATTTATTCAGTCTGTTACTACTAGATACCACAACTTACATCCCCAAGATACCAGTACCTCGCTGGATAACCTCATTTAGTAAGTAAAGTAAAAAGTTTGAATGTTTGTAAAACATCAGCTTGAATACTTTCGCAAAATTACTGGGATATCAGGTGTGGAGTATATAGCGGGCCAAGCAAAAACATATTCACACAAACCAAGAAGCAATGAACTAGGTTAATAGCCGTTACCTTAGCTACTTCCGAGTCCCAGGGGCAATTAATGCAGGATGTGCACAACGAGTACATCTGTAAGATTATTTATTAGTGACCACTTACAAGTTTGGATACAAAAAGGTAAGTGACACGGTCAAGGCGATGCGGTCATTCATACCATCGTCCGAAATCCGTGCCACCCAGGGAAAACACATTCATGAAGAAGCAAGAAGTACGCTGAGTACTCAGTAGACTTAAAGCGCATGATCTTTAGCTACGGCAGAGCCGCATAATCGAACAGCAGAGTGTCGAATTTATTGGGAGTTGAAAAGCAGCTGTTTACTAGACGCCGTACGTAAAAGTCAAATTAAGTAAAGTCAAAATAAGCTTTATAAACCCTAATGGGTTCATTTTCAGCATTTACATCACCACTGCGGTCATCTGGATGATAATATTAATATACATGCTTGTAAATAAAAGTGGGAAACTGCACAACTGTCACTCAAACAATCGCTCGTGCAGCGTGTTAGTAACTTTCACTGCGTCAACAAGTAAACGTAAGAGATAAGGCAAAACAGTATTAAGATACGAAGACATATGGGAGAATCAACTTCGGAATTTCGAACTAGGAGAAGAGAAAGAAAGATTAAAAATAAATGTGTTGCAATGAAATAACGTGCGTCGGATGTCTCATTGCAAGGTTTGCACTTGCAAACAGGTTGGCTACACCATGTGGTGGTCCAATAAATCATGTGCCTTGGGTGGAGTAATGCAGCATAAGATCACCATCAAATTTAGTCAACCTAGAGATTAAAATAGCGGAAGTCGGCACAGTGTACCACAACCAGCGCAGACGGAAGGAGTATTACTTTTAGCAGCAATACAGCTTTCTATAACATGTGACATAGTTTAAACGTCAACATTTTGATGTTGTGCTGTGGCTGATTTACAAGTATTTACGATATATACACTTACACGTGTAGGCAGCAGAGCGTTTAGAAGGCTTGAGGAGGTGTTTTCATTGCATTTAACTTAATACACGAGGCTTGAACTAGATATGCGTAATAGCTAGTACACGTACCACCTGTGTAACACGGCTGACCGAAAACATCCGTTAGTTTGATTGTTGAAACGTATTGATTGATCCTTTTTGTGCCCCTGGCGGTCCCAGTGAGGTAAATCTCGGTCCCTCAGAACATAATTGTGCAGCGAAGCATTATGCCGTGCACGTGTTGTTTTTCGTTACAGACGCGGTCAACAGTAAGCGTAAGTCGATACTAAGGTATCGGAAACGCAGTATTAAAGCCGTAAATCTACACAGAAAATTTTTTCATTGGCTGAACTTTGTTCTACACGCGTCTCACTGGGACGACCAAGAGCACAATAATAGTTATTCTACTGTGGCTTAACTGTTACTCCCGCTGACTAAAGGTACGACTTTGTTAAAACTAAAACTTTGTAGATAAACAATGGTGGATTGTATGGAGCACCATATTATTTAACGACATACGGACGTAGTACGCTATTTCGTTTCATTCCATTCTTCACCTAATGACCGAAAACAAGCTCAAAATGGACAGCTGGCTATCTGTCTGTTTGGATTGTGGGATGCCAACATGTACGAGCCTAAACAGGCTGCGCTTCCGGCAAAATTCCGTATCAAGAACTTGTAATTCATTTCAAATAGCCAGCAAATTTGGTTACAAACTCAAAGTGCACTAACTAATGATGTCTTAATATACATTTGACAGCTAGGCGAGAAAGTTGATGGCCAACGCGCGCGTGTTCGCCACAAAGCGTGCATGGGACAGACCTCGCGAGTGTGTTGCCACGGCCCAGCCGAAAGCTAATTAAACCGCACATCAGACATCATGCGCGTTGCCAAGGTCTGACCGGAACTTGATGAAATCGCGCGTCAGACCTCATATACGTTACCATGCCCCGGGTAGGCGAATGAAGACTGGCGTGGCGGAGAAAGTCGGTGAACTGGACAGACGGAGCAGACAGACAAGTTTGAAGCCCTCGAATACGAAGAAGAGAGGAAGCCCAATCCGCCAGGCGGTAGTTAGAGGATTGGTGAGACCTACCTACCAGGTGTTTGCTTAAGCTGGTCCGGAACTAGGAGCAGCTACACTCAGTTGCTGACGTACAACCGGTACGCTGAATTGCTAACTGTCCAATGGCGCAACTTGCTTTGCCGGCAAGGGTGAGGTAGGAAACCGACGCCACGCGTGTGCCTACGATCGCAGAGTACACCGAGCCGTTCGGCTGTGAGAAGTAACGTTAGCCAGACACCACAGCCGCAATGAATGCGTCATGCCTCGACCGCAGGGCACGACCTAGGGAACGCACGCAGTTCAGCAGTGAGAACTGGACCTGAGCCGAACACCACGTTGCCTCACTGAACGTGTCACGCTTCGATCGATCAGAAGTCATCCTTTATGCAGGTGAACAGCCAGAAAAATGGTTGGCTGCGAAGTGTGTCGCTGTGCTAGCAAGTAAGAACAACAGCCTGGCAGTTTGTGATGACCGGTCGATAGGCGCCGTATTGCGATCGCCACAAAAGCTGTTATAGCCTCAAGACTGGAGTCCAACAAACCGGTAAGCTTTAATTAGGCTGCTTTCACTGCTAAAGAGAATCATATTGCTAGGAGCACATTGTACGGTTACATTGTTGTTCGATTTACCGTTTCGATCGCTTGCGTGTGACAGCTGAAAATTTACCTTCATGGGTGCATAAAAACGATTGCTTGACTTGACGACGTGACAATGTTCTTAGATTTACGTCTGCTCCCACGCACTTGTGGCACCATTAAACAGCACACCAATTTAATCATGAATGCAACTATTGCCCTCACAGTCAGACAATTGATAGTTGTCCAAATTGGTCAGGTTTTCGATGGTGTTTCTCGTGTACAATGGAGAATATACATAAGAGCGTAAGAGCGCAG